CCTGGAAAGCTGCAGAATATTCTATTGAGATCCTCTCCTGAAACCTCCCCTAAAATTCCCTTTAGAAAACAAATAAAATCCCTCAAGACTAAAGGCCCCGTACTGGCTTGAGCACTCCCATGCCATTTCTTCAGACAGGTATTTTTCTCTCCGGAGCTCCAAAGGGTTCCAGGAGACTTGCAATCAGGTGAGAATGGGCAGCAGCAATTTGTCCTGGGCTAATCCTGTCAACTCTCCAAGGGCCCTCTTTTTGCCTCTATGACTTTCTTTCCTGAGTCCACAGAGCCCAGCATGGCTCACTTCTGTTACTATAATTTGTTTCCTGAATCCATGCGGATTCAATTTTGTTCTGTGACCTCCTTTCCTGAATCCAAACAGCCCAGAGTGGCTCAATTCTGTTCCTGTGACTTCCTTTCCTGAGTCTAGGCAGCTCAGTGTAGACCCACTCCTGTTGTTGTGATCTTGGCTCTTCTATCTTAAGTTTCACTACTCCCGACTTTAAGAAAGGCACTCTTAAAATCATCTGGGCGCATGTTGTGAACTTTTTCCTACACAAAGTCAAGAACTAACACATTTCAGATTGTGCCAGGGCAGATCTGCTTCAGTCCCGGTCACTTTCGGTGACAATTGTTCCTGAGTGAACAACCTTGGTCTCTGATTCTGGCTCTCCAAACCTACTGGCAAGTCTGTATGTTATTCAAAATCCTCCCCCATCCCATTTTATTTATTTATTGTTGACAGTATTACAGATATCCCCCATTCTTCTGCCCTTAATATCCTTTTATTGTAGTCGTTTCTGTTGCTTGCTAATAGGAATTCTGCTTAATATATTACCTACTTTTAAAGGTGATTAAGAGAATGTGTTGGAAGGAGCTACACAAATACAACCAGATCATTCACAGGATGCCAAATATTGTACCGAGTACAAAGTGTCAGATTCTGAGTATGGAGAGTAGCAGCAACATAGAACAATTTCTAATCACAGTTAAGCAAAAATTTTAATTGACAGAAGCTTTACATACATAATTGATACCAGATTTGATTTCACATTTTATGATTCTATCAGGTATCAATTCAATTACCTTTATTTTTCAATGAACTGTTAAATAGCTGAAGAAAATCACTCCATTAATACAAATTTAAGATGTATGTATTAAAAATCATATATAATTTTCTCTGTCACTTTAGAACGACACAAAGTGAGGCAAGAAAAAAAATTGAAAGTAGATGGGAAAGGGGAAAAAATTTAAAGCCTACAAAAAAAGTAAGGGGGGGGCAAGGACCCAGAAAAGTATTACTGGCAAAAATGTAAAAATATGTATAAATAGGCTATTCATTATAGCACTAGTTATATCAAAATGCTATACTCCACCTAAATGTTCATCAATACGGGATTAAATTAATAAAATATGGAACCCTCTCCAATGAAGTACCATGAAGCTCTTTGAAAAAAATTGAGGCATACCAAAATATCTGTGTATAGTACTACTGTGGAATGAGCTTCAGAATATACCATTAAATGAAAGAAGCAAGGTATAGAAAAGATTACAGGGTGGGGCAAAAGTTGGTTTACAGTTGTGAGTACATGAAATAGAGATTATTCTTGTATTATTATTTATTGTATTATTTTCCAAATGAACAGCTGTAAACCCATTTTCCCCCACTCTGTATATTGTATGCTACTGTTTATCTCACAGGAGAGGATATCCAAATATATGTGTTTGTTTACACTAAAGAACAATGGAAGGATAAGCCTTAAAAAACAAATGCCACTTTACAGAACATACATAATATCAGTCTAACTGCTTTGTAAAAAGAATCAGAGTTCCAGAGATAAATAAAACTTGTTTAAAGACTTTGTATACTTGACTAAAATGGGGCACATCACAGACTACAGATAACAATATTAATCAGATTTTAATGTCTCTGATATTAATATTATAAGCAAATGAAAAAGAATTACAGACTCTATAAAACTCTGCCCTCCACAATCTTTCATAAACTTGTCTTTTACACAGACTGAGGAGAATATATTGATTTACACTAAGGGTTCAAATACCCTTAGACAAAACTATTCTCCCTTTAGTTTTTATCACTTCTCCTGCAAAGATCCTTATATCCAATTCTGATTCTTATATTTTTTTAATCTTCTAAAATTCATTGTGCACACAATAATATCTTAGATCAATAGAATTAACAGAATTGGAATAGACATAACCCAGAAAATTCAGAACTCAAATGAAGTGAAGCAACCTAGGTAGGATTTCTCTCAACCTGCCTAACCGTAACAACCAAATAAAGAGACAGTGTAGAAGATGGTCTTGCAAGAAACTGAAAAAAAAAAAAAGTGGGGCTGTAGTCAAATGAGTTGAGACATTAATAAAAGGAGAAACAAGGGGACAGTAAAGCCACACACCTTCTTATAGAAAAGTCTCTGTGAGAGAAGAACTAATATTCAAGGAGCCCCTGCATGAGGATGATGAAACCAAAGTATTGGGAGATGAAAAGTTTGGTCGTAAGGAATAGAAGCTCATAAATTCCTCCAAAAATGCTGTGTGTCATTTTGCTTAACCCTTTTGCTTATATTGGCTCTTCTCAGGGTAAATAAGTCAAAACACCAGAAAACTGTTTACAAAAGGCCGAAACCGGTTTGGCTCAGCGGTAGAGTGTCGGTCTGTGGACTGAAAGGTCCTGGGTTCGATTCCGGTCAGGGGCATGTACGTTGGTTGCGGGCACATCCCCAGTAGGGGGTGTGCAAGAGGCAGCTAGTCGATGTTTCTCATCGACGTTTCTAGCTCTCTAGCTCTCTCCCTTCCTCTCTGCAAAAAATCAATAAAATATATTTTTTTTAAAAACTGTTTACAAAAGAACAGAATTGCTAAATCGAATTAATACAACACAACTAGTATGTCCTGAATACCTATTTTCAATTTCATTAAAACCTCTACATTGAGGACATGGAAACATCATAAATTCATTACAGAACAACAACAAATCCCCAAAACCCACTTCTGGTAAAAAGAATACATGACTAAGATTAAAACTGATTCTCCAGTCCTAGCTGGTTTGGCTCAGTGGATAGAGTATAGGCCTGCAGACTGAAGGGTTAGATTCCGGTCAAGGGGAACGTGCCTGGGTTGCAGGCTCGATCCCCAGTAGGAAGAACCACTTTGTACTAGAATTTTTTACAGGTAGTCCTGCTCAAGAGCCAGATGTGACATTATAGCAGGTCCAACTGCATGGTCTCAAAGGTCAGAGATCACCAAGCTACCACTATTCTGTACATTTTACTCAGGCATGTTTCCTAAATAAGCTAGTAAATTTATGACTGCCAGGGGTAAAGGGTAGAGGGCAACAGTGCTAATTAGTGATCTTGGGGAAAGCCATATCAATAGAGGGATACAGGTAAAAATCAAATTACACTGCTCTAAGGAGTAAAAGGGAAGTAGGGGAGAAGGCAAATGAATATCACTTTTAAGATGCCAGGCTGTGACCTAGCTGGTGTGGTTCAGTGGTTGAGCATTGACCTATGAACCAGGAGTTCACAGTTCAATTCCTGGTCAGGGCATATGCCCAGGCTTTGGGCTTGATCCTCTGTATGGTTTATGCAGGAGGCAGCTGATCAATGATTCTCTCTCAGAAACATCAATGATGAGAGAGAATCATATATATATATATAAAAGCCTGGGTATGAAGGGAAAAAGAGAAATAGGAGAATAGCTAGAATAAGATGAAGAGCCAAGAAAGTTTAGGGTAGTTTTTTGTTTGTTTGTTTTTTAATATATTTTATTGATTTTTTACAGAGAGGAAGGGAGAGGGATAGAGAGTTAGAAATATCGATGAGAGAGAAACATCGTTCAGCTGCCTCCTGCACACCCGCTATTGGGGGATGTGCCCAAAACCAAGGTACATGCCCTTGACCAGAATCGAACCTGGGACCTTTCAGTCCGCAGGCCGACGCTTTATCCACTGAACCAAATCGGTTTTGGCAAGAGTTGTTTTTAAGATACCAGAAATGTGAGCAAGCCTAAAAGTGATAGGATCTCAGCCCAGAGACCCGGTAGAGCTACAGAAGTGTACTTAGAACTGCATGCTCTGTATCTCTGCTTAACAGTTACAAAAGCATTTACAGGTCCAGAAGTTCAAAACTAATCCATTGCCTTTCTTCCCAAACCTGCTTCCGCCTTTATGTCTCATCTCTGTACAAAGACCCATCCATGGAGGACCCAAGCAAAGAATTTCAGTCTTCCCTGACTCTTCTGTCTTGTCTGTGCCCAGCATCCCCTCTCTTTCACTCCACTGGTTCCTAGATAGGCTCGCAGACAATTTGTTTTCCAAGTACAGAAACAAACAACTACCATCTATTACTACCAGCTACCAAAATAATTTTAGACCAAAATATCGTAATTTCAGACTAACAGATAACTGTTCTTCAGAAGGTAAGCAACCTTATATTAACTGAACTTACTCTTTATCATTCTTTTTTTTTTTTTTAATATATTTTATTGATTTTGTACAGAGAGGAAGGGAGATAGATAGTCAGAAACATCGATGAGAGAGAATCATCGATCAGCTGCCTCTTGCACACCCCCTACTGGGGATATGCCCGCAACCAAGGTATTATACATGCCCTTGACCGGAATCGAACCTGGGACCTTTCAGTCCCCAAGCCGACGTTCTATCCACTGAGCCAAACCGGTCCCGGCTCTATATCATTCTTACTTTTCTCACTGCACTGAAGATCAATGAAAATGGCACTTGTCCTAACAGACTTCTCTTATTAACATCTGTGATACTTCATTTTAGTGTAAATAAACATATATTTGGATATCCTCTCCTGTGAGATAAACAGTAGTATACTATATCAAGGTGGGGCAAAAATGGGTTTACAGTTGTTCATATGGAAAAGAATACAATTAATAAATACTAATACAATAAATTTAAAGGGCTAAAACAGGGGCAGAGAAAGCGAGAAGAATCTTTGTAAAATAGCTACCAACTTGAAATCGAAGCTGAAGATGGATTAGCGATTTCTAAGCCAAAAGGATTCTTGACTTGTCTCATTTGCTTTTTGAAAACTCTTGTTTTGAACTGGGTCTCTTCAGAATTTCTCAGGATTACTGGAACATCCCAACCAAACCTGAAGGTGAAAATAAAATAATACATTATTTTAACTAATGTTGAAACTTTGTTATACTAATAGCCCTGCACACAAATCCATGCTCCAGTAGGTCTCTTCCGCCCTCCTGTAGATTCCCCCGGGGTAGGGGTGCGGGGGCCATAGCTTGCTGCCCTGCCCCCTCCTGTAGCTCTCTGCTGCTTGTAGTTCACTGCCCCACTCTCCTGCAGATCCTTTATCCAGTCAATAGGCCTCATGACATAACTGATAATTAGCATATTCCTCTCTTATTATATAGGATGTAGACTATGTTATGTTTCATTAGTTAATCCTCTTAACATATCAGAAAAAGGAATAATTAATTTATGTTATATTTGAGAATTAATCTAGAAATAACAGAAATCATCAGTCCCCTAGAATTGCAATATATTGTTAAACTGGCTGAACCGACATACTCTTGAAAACAGAATTCTATTGTTAATAATGAAGAAGTATACTAATTATAAATTGTACCTAATGTAAGAGGAAAAGCACGATAGAATTATTAAATTCTTAAATGATATTATAGACAAATACATATATATTTTTAAAATATATTTTTATTTATTTCAAAGAGGAAGGGAGAAGGAGAGAGATATATAAAAATCAGAGATGAAAGAGAATCATTGATTGGCTACCTCCTGCACACGACCTATTGGGAATCGAGCCTGCAACCTGGGCATGTGCCCTTGACCAGAATTGAATCTGCAGGGTGACGCTCTATCCACTGAGCCAAACTGGCGAGGGTGACAAATACATATTTAATATGCAGACTATTTGATATTATTTATGGGATAAGAGAACTTTTAAACACCAAATATAGCCATTCATTTATTAGCATATTTTCTCATTTTAAAGTTAATGCAAAAATGTGATAATGCATATTGAATAGGCTTAGAAGGAAAATGAAAAGGACTAAATTCAATTCTTTATAAAACTAGAAAGCAGCTAAGTTTACTCAATTTAAATAAAATAACTGAAAACGAATACACATTAGTTTAACCAAGAGACTTTAGATTAAGCACGCAGTTAGGTTCATACTTGGATGCACTCTCTTCTCTCCAAACACTTACTAGTGATAGGTAAAAAAAAAAAATAAATAATAAAAATAAAAAAGACCCTGCTGAAATGAGCAAATTGTGTTAAACTAAGGAACAGAAGAACTCAGCAATGAAAAGGAATAAATTATTGCTACGACCATATGCATAAATCTCAAAAACAACATACTGCACAAAAGAAATCATGCTATGATTCCATAAAGTGAAATTCTAGTCTGTAAAAGTAATTGAGTAGAAATAAAAAACAAAACAATGGTTGCTTCTGGGGTGTAGGAGAACAGGCTGACTGGAAAAGTGCATAAGGAAATTTTTTCTGGTGATGGTAACATTCTATTATCTTGACAGAGGGTTGAGTTGTATTGATGATGTGTTTGATAATACTTAAGATATAAATATTTCTGCCGAGACCAGTTTGGCTCAATGGATAGAGCGTCAGCTTGGGGACTGAAGGGACCCGGGTTCGATTCTGGTCAAGGGCATGTACCTTGTTGTGGGCATATCCCCAGTAGGGGGTGTGCAAGAGGCAGCTGATCGATGACTCTCATCGATGTTTCTAGCTCTCTATCTCTCTCCCTTCCTCTCTGTACAAAATCAATAAAATATTTTTAAAAATGGATATAAAATTCCATTTTTTATAAAAAAAAAAAGATATAAACATTTCTAATAAATCCTCCCTTCCTCCAATTGATGGACGGACATAAACTCCACCTGCAGCCAGACATTCCTGAGCACTGAACTACCAATCAGCACCTGCCAAATACTCCTAAGTCCCTAGTCCCTAATCATGTGCCTTACATGAAACCACCAATCAGTGTATGCTGAGTGCCCTAAGCCCCTGTCTTTCTTCCCCTTAAAAGATGTTTGTACCCCGGCCCTCGGGCTCTTCCACTCTCTCTCTGGAAGCAGCAGGCAGTGGTACTCTCCTCTTCAATAAAGCCTGTGTCCTGGCATCCCGGTCTCTGGCCCTCTCTATTTCATTTTTTAATTTCATTGTATATAAATATTACTTCAAAGGTAAAGTACAAGTGGGTGAAGAGTACAAGTTACTCTGAAGTGATCAACAAATTAGATGGACTGATGGGTGGATGAAAGAATGGATGGATCAGAACAGACATGTAATAAAGTCATTATAGCAAAAGGTTGATTTGGAACTGAAGTGATGGGCATGTGCATGCTTACTGGATAATTCTTTCATTGTATGCATGTTTGAAAATTTTAATAATAAAATGTTGGAAAGTAGACATAGATGGATTCAAAGACATCTTTATAAATTTGAAAAGGGAAAAAAATATAAAGTGATGAGTAAGGCGTATGCCATGGTTTGATGCTCTCTGAGTCCGACAGTAGGCAGTGGAAACTAAGCCTTCACATACAAGTTGTCCAGTCAAGACAAGGGCCAGAACCAGGCTCACAACTTGAATCCAGGCGTTGGGTTAGGTCATTTTAAGACCTGGTCCTTCATTAAAGGAGGGGACTGTCTATAAATCGGGGTGTAGGCAATTGTAAAATGGTTAAGAGAGGTCTCCAGTTCCATCCCAGGTCAGTAAATGCCTGTGTGGGCTCAATTCCTGGTAGGGGGTGTGCAAGAGGCAGCCAATTGATGTTACTCTCCCACATCAATGTTTCTCTCTTTTTCCCTTTCTCTAAAATCAATAAAAAACATTTTTTTAAAAAATAAGCTGAAAATCTTTTTGAAACAGATCAAACTATTTCCAAGTAAGTTAACTGCATCCCAAAACAAAGCTCAAGAATATTTATATGGCCCTAACAGGTTTGGCTCAGTAGATAGGGCATCGGCCTTCGGATTGAACGGTCCCCAGGTTGGATTCTGGTCAAGGGCATGTACCTTGGTTGCGGGCACATCCCCAGTAAAGGGTTTGCAGAAGGCAGCTGTTCGATGTTTCTAATTCTCTATCCCTCTCCTTTCCTCTCTGTAAAAAATCAATAATATATATATATATATATATATATATATATATTTTTTTTTTTTTTTTTTTTTTTTAAAAGAACATTTATATGAATATAAACATTTACATCAGCCCTCGCCAGGGTGGCTCAGTTGGTTGGGTGTTGTCGTGTGCACTGAAAGATGAACATGAGCCCTTTGTTGGATTTATCTTCACCCCTTCTACATCTTACCTTTTCAAGTTCATAATGGTATCTTTTGATGAACAGGGTCCTAATTTTAACACAAGTAATTAACCTTTGCCTTTAAGGTTAATAGTTTTGCTCTTTGGCTTTTCATTCCAGCCTTATCTGAATTATGTCCTAACACTGCTACATTTCTCAATTACTATCTCAGATGTTTTTGTATTACTGTCCTAGGGTTGGAGAAATAAAGGTAAGAGTGTGAGTTATTACAAGTTAGAAGTTTAGAGAACGAATCCCCCCAAAGCTAGGACCCAGACCTTTTTGGGAGCAGTTCTGGCTGGGAGAGATATCTGGTGCTGATATCTCTGAAGGAGTGCCATAGACTGGTTCTAGATATGAGGAAAAAATAAGCTAAAAAACAAACAAACAAACAAAAAACCTTGCTGCAACTTCGGCCAATTGTCACTGCTAGTGTGAAGGCCAATGTTGCAAAAATGAAGACCAGGAAAGGGGAGCAAATTTTTAAGAAAGAGACTGGAAGGCTGGAGGAGGAAGAGGAACTTGAGGAAGAAGAAAGAAGATATGGAACTAGCACAAGAGAAATGCAGTTTGCAAAATCCCAGTCCCAGTATCATAAAGCAGAGTAGAGAAGAGCATATTTGCTGAGAGACATTAGCCTTTGCGAAAGGTCGGCTTACAGTATATTTTTGTGGCAGCATTACAGGCCACAGGGTCCTTCCCCAAGGGTATCTGACCTCCCCTCAATCAGAAGCCCTGAGTCTACGGATTGGCTTAGAGCTGGAAACTGGGTGAAAGGTCATACTCTCCATTGTTGTGACCCAAGTCAGATCTCTGGCTCCAGACCTGGAGTTTTCCTTTTATGCAGTTCATGTAGCATTTAATAAGCCACCACCTATTTCATTCCCAGGGACATTGTAGTCCATTACACACTGCCAAAGATCCCTGCAGGCCAACACATTTTCTGCTTTGTCTTCCCTTACCCATTATGAAACATGTCCATCTTGACTTCTGTGGTTATGTGTTGCCACTAGACTTTAAGTCAGAAGTCTGCCCAAGGGCAGCATTTTTCACAATCATAAATAGCCTAGAGAAGTCAGGTGCCAGAGATTTCCAAGATAAGTCTCCTCTCAGTAATATACTTCTCAGTGCTTCGTGCAAAGCAACTGCCCTAGGCGAGATTATAAATTCTTTAAACACAGGAAGGTTAATCTTCTCAGACAAGGAAAGCAGGCTGCTTCCACCAACAAGAAAGGCTCAGAGTAACTTGGGGTTTCCAGATGTTCAAGTCCATTTCAATGTTTCCATTCCAAGTTTCAGGGTTCCACTTCTTTCTAATCGGTGTCCTAAATGAGATATCTACAGGGCTGTGCAATGCTATTACCAGCACAATTAAAGCTGTGTTCAATTTTTGGCTCAGGGGCTACCTGATAAAGTGCTTTAGAATCACAGAAACTCTCTCATTCTCTAAGACTTTATCTGAGAGTTCAAAGATCTGAGTTTGTCTGTGTTTCCCCCCCCCCCCCCCCATAAGTGCTCTAGTGATCTCAGAAATAACCATCCCATCCATCCCTCAGTCCTTATAGTCATCATTACTACCATATGGTCAAGTGCGTTAGACACTTGGTACTATAAGGCAGCGGTCGCTAACCTTTTGGACCTTACGACCCACAAGTTGGCGACCACTGCCCTAAAGCACTTGTTTCGGAAATCATTGTATCACAATCACTTAAAAGTAGTGAGTGATTTTATTGACTGTGATGCCAATGTATGCCAGAACTGGCAAGGAGCTGAAGAAATGACCATACCAATCTCCAACCCCATCTCTGAGGCTCCCCTCTCCCCAGGATCCCATTCTTAGTAATAATTTATCGACAGTTTTACCAGTCCAGTCAGGAGACCAAAATTACACCAGCAATTTTAACAGAGATAATCTATATATATATAGAAGCCCAAGCAACCGGCTGACCATTCGATCGTCTAACTGGTACCTATGATGCACAATGACCACCAGATGGCAGACGGTCAATGCAGGAGCTGCCAAGCGGCAGTGACTTGGCAGGTGCGGTTCTCTGGTAACTCACCGGAACCAGAGAGGAGGGAGCCCGCTCCCAGGGTGTGTCACCCGAGAACTGCCCTCTCACAATCTGGGATCGCTTAGGGGATGTCAGAAAGCTGGTTTAGCTCAATCTCTGCAGGCCAGGTCGAGGGACCCCACTGGTGCACAAATCCATGCACCAAGCCTCTAGTTTAATATAAAAAAATGTTAACCAGATTTTAAAGAACTGAAAAGGCAAAAGAGGAGCACTGATTATCAAAAAAGTACTAACAATAGGAAGCAACAATCACTCTTAGGATAAGGAATAGAGGAAAAAGAGTTACTAAAGCCTAGAAATTTGGAGGAAGGATCCCCAAAGAGCTGGACTTAGATCTGAGGAAAGGGTATTGAGATCTTTTGACAGGTTGCAATGAGGCTGATTCTAAGAAAGTGGAAAACAATGAACTGGAAAAACTGGGAATGACTGTTAGTGCCAGAGTGAGGCACTACTGCTGTGGTGGGACAAACAAGAAAAAGAATCAAACAGGAAGCGGCAAGTCCTCTTGTCCTCTAGCCTTCCACTCTCCCTCCCCCATTGGCAAAGCCTCATGGGCAGCCAGCTAGCAAAGAAGAAATGAGGTTTAGAGGTTCTGCCTCAGATTCACAAAGCGGAGTACAATAATGGAGATATCAAACCAAGAGAGAATCCTATATAATAATAGACTTCTATGCAAATTGTCCCCTTGGGAGTTTGACTGACCAAGAGTTCATCCCTAGCTATGATGTGTGGGGACCACCAGAGGGTGGCATGGAAAGAAGGAAGGCCCCAGCAGTTGGCAGCTTGGGGAAAGTAAGGCCCCGGCCAGCAGCTTGCAGCCAGTAGCCAAGGAAAGGAAGTCCCGGATTGGCCCTGATTGCCAGCTAGGCCTAGGGACTCTACTGTGCATGAATTTCGTGCACTGGGCCTCTAGTAGCTTAATAACCCACAGTCAAGAAGAAGCAGAAAGTACTAATAGTTAGGCTCTCTGATTATTTGAAACTGTTCAAAACTGTTAAAACTGTTTTGGTTTTTCTGCACAGCACATGGCAAATAGCAGGAGTTTAATAAATGTGAGCTACTAGGGTTCACGGAAACCACCACGTAGTTAAATAGAAACACCATACTTCTAGTTGCATGATTCTTTACTATTGCTACTGACATTCTAATAATCAGAAGTTCCTATTCTTTTCCACTCCCACACAGTGCAGCTAGACAAGAACGGTGGAAAGAAGCAATAAGAAAGAAACTCAAGGGAGCTGTACTGAAGTAGAAACCATGAGATGACAGATGACCTCTAGAGACTATATTATGAGAAGTTAAAAAAAATGACAAGCGTGAAGAACATAGTGGATTAATGGGTTTACCTTCTGCCTGGGGTACTATTAGAAAGTTGTTTCATGAGATCTAGATGGTTTTCATTGTTTCTACTCAATGCACCTGTGACCTTGGCTTAGGTTAGCAAACAAATGCTAGTAAAAACTTTATCTAGATGAACAAAGCTAACCCAGATGGAGAGAATAGTTGGGTTAGCCTCAAGATCAGTGACTGGTTTGACCCAAATCAGGATGAAAATGACTAGCACAAACATGGTCTCCGGCCTTAGCAGTCCTGCACCCAGAATTCCAAAATTTCTACAATTATCTTGACTCCTACCCTTTGAAAAAACCATATCTAGAGTATCATTAAGTTTTCAAACCAAGTCTTAAACTTGGCTGAACTAGGATTTGAACTAAATCTAATATCAAAGTCTACAAACATGTAATTCCTAACTACCCTTCACACACAGATGTTGTCATCATTACCAATAGGATCTTCATTCATTTTCCTCTTTCCAATACTATTAAAGACAGATATCTAAAGTATCTCATTAGTTGGCCATTGAAAATTAAAATGCAAGGATATACTGCAATTATCCACTAGTCACCCATTTTCTTTAGTGGAGAAAAATTACATTTCTTTAAGAGAATAACACATTGTAGTTATTTTAAAATCCTGTGTTAACACTGCCTTTCTCAACTGGGCAACAGCTTCCTAATTCCAATCACAGACTTTCTTGAAGAACAATAGCAAGAAAATCTGACGGGCCAAGAATAACAAATTATGTAAAATTGGTCTTTATCTTCCCCTACCACACACGAGGACTTTTATGCTCTACTGCCTACAATGTGGGGAGCAGAGTGAAAGCATTAAAACTGCTTAGATCCTAAAGATAGCACATAAGGCCGGGACTGGTTTGGCTCAATGGATAGAGCATTGGCTTGGGGACTGAAGGGTCCCAAGTTCGATTCTGGTCAAGGGCATGTACCTTGGTTGCGGGCATATCCCCAGTAGGGGGTGTGCAAGAGGCAGCTGATCGATGACTCTCTCTCATCGATGTTTCTAACTCTCTATCTCTCTCCCTTCCTCTCTGTATAAAATCAATAAAATATATTTTTTTTAAAAAAAGATAGCACATAAGGTCAGAAAATGACAAGGGCTCCCGTCCTTTCTTTAAAGTGAGCACATATATTGTGATCAAAGGGTATTTTTTTTTTTTTTATTAATCCTCACTCATTTTACACACGTCTCCTCTGGCCCTCTGCCCGTGTTGTACTCTCTGGAATGCCTTCTATTCTCTACCACACATATTTTACTCCACTTATTTTTCAAAACACCCATTCTTCAAAACCTAGCTCATCTCTCTCTCTCCTCAATGGATACAAAGGGTTTCAACGAGCTGTTACCTACGAGGCTTCTCTAAACACGATACAATGGAGTTCTGTTACAAGTCCCGCCAAGGCCAAGCGCTCAATTCACAAGTACAACAATCAACCTTGTTTACCGTCCGTGTCTGCGCGCCGCACCGCTGGGGACTGGACACTGGGCACACCGTAGGCCCCAATCTGGGACAGAAGCTGGCGGACAAGTATTCTGCCCAAGACCGGGCCCCTACCGGGCGCTTTATTTCCCAGAAACAAAGCTGGGTGAAATACTTCAATCCCGCACCACCCCCGTACGCCCGCAGCGGCGGGGACCGGGCGGTAATGCGGGGCAGTAACGCAGGTGCAGTGTCTCCCTAGCCGTCCTCACGGAGCCATTTGGAGCTCTCGACCCCGGCTCCCCGACAGCCCCAGGCGCTCGCTCCGGGGCCGCCGCCCCCCTGCTTCCACGCCCCCAGCAGCTCGCCGCGATCCGGCTCCCGGGCCGCCCGCCCCTCCTTCCCTGGCCCTTAGCTCTGGGGTACTTACCATCCCAATACCAGGCCGGTGGTCACGATGAAGCAGGTAAAGACCACCGCGATGTAGAAGAGCGGCGAGTACTCATAGAGTGTTACTAGAAACACCGCAGCCATCGGAGTCTCCAAAGCTCAACTGGGATCCGGCGCCCAGCCCAGCCCCTCAGCCCGCTTCTCCCCTGGTTAAAGCCGCTACGGTGCCCCGCAGCGGACAAACTTCCTACTTCCGCACCCGCCCAGGGATCTGATGGACTGGGCGTCGGAGCTGCCTCGCGGGCTGCGGAAGCCGGCGTGCCAATCATGACGTTGCCTGCAGGGCTCGCCCCGCCCCTCCCGCTCCGGTCCCGAGCTATTGGCTCCACGGAGGGGCGGGGCCATGACTCGCACCGCCCCGGCTCCTGGGATTGGTGCCCAGCAAGCGTTTACCCCGCCCGTCTGTCCCAGCCCCGCGTTTGTGCGGCAAATTCTGAATAGGTGTTGTTGGGGCCAAATCCGTCCTAGACTCAGTCAGGTAAGTGTTCTGATGCCTTAGAGAGAAGCCGCACTCCGAAACCGACGTAGCAGAGCCTGAATTCTGAAACCCTACATATTAGGTCCGAGGCAAGTTTGGGAGGGGAAAGGCCGGCATCTTGGGTTCTACCAAGTGAAACAACCCCAAAACCTGCTCTTGTTTTATTTGGAAAAGGTAGGCCCCATACAAAACGCCAGCAGGAGTCTCACAAGCAGTTTATACGAGCCTTGTCAGCCTTTTCGAGTTGGATTTAACGGTAGAGGGAAATGAGCGTTGCATATCAAGATGCTCATAGAAATAAATCAACTGCTTCCCCTTACAACCTTCAAATTAGAATTAGATATTTGAACTTTTAAAATTTTCACTCTAATAAGAATTTTAAATGTGTACCATGTGTATATGTGTGTGAGTATATATATATTTTTTAATTATTATTTTTTTAAAAATATATTTTATTGATTTTTTACAGAGAGGAAGAGAGAGGGATAGAGAGAAACATTGATGAGAGAGAATCAAAAATCAGCTGCCTCTTGCACACCCCCTATTGGGGATGTGCCTGCAACCAAGGTACATGCCCTTGACCAGAATCGAACCTAGGACCTTTCAGTCCGCAGACTGATGCTCTATCCATTGAGCCAAACCGGTTTCGGCTACTTTTTTTTTTTTTTTTTTTAACTGAGCAAAAGTTTTTAAATATATCCTTTCTCTTCATTCTGGCTCAGTCAACTCCATCAGGTTAGTCTCCCTGGAAATCTCTCACAACACTTCCACTGACATTTTATTAAACTTGCTTTTAGTCCTAAAGCCACACTTAGCTACCACAGAGATGGGGAAATGTGGTCTTTTATTCTGAGCAGCAACATCCCTGATACAATTCCAGATGGGGGTTCGGGGTAGGGTTACCAAGGAAGAAAAGAACAAAGGACCTTAGAATGAAACTTAGTGATCACTCCACACTCCCAAATCACCAATAAAATTAGTGCTGGAAAAAAATGAGGTAAATTTGTTCTTTGGTTTCACATATTCCTTGGCAAATGACCATGTATTGGATATTCTCTGGAATAGCGCTGGGTCAGAAGCTTGGTTCAACAACATAATTTTTAATGACTACATATGCGATTTCTGAAAGTATATAACTGATTTAATTAGCCCCCAATTGTCAGACTTTTTTTCTATTATAAATAACACTTCAATAAACATTCTTAAAGCTAAATCATTTTTTTTTTATCCTTAAGACAACTCTGAGTCTCCCTTCTTCGGGAAGCTTCCTGAACACTTCCCAACCCCTGGGGAACGCCCTCTCCAATAGCACCCAGTGTGGATCTACATGGAGCCCCCTGACCCTGGGAAAGCATATGCTCACTTAGTCTATATAGCCTACTAGGTCCCCAGCTCCCTGAGTGTAGGAATTACACCTAATTGATGTGTGTGCCAACAGTGCTGAACATATGTATTATAGAGGCTCAACAGGTGTTTATGGAAGGAAGGAAGGAAGGAAGGAAGGAAGGAAGGAAGGAAGGAAGGAAGGAAGGAAGGAAGGAAGGAAGGAAGGAAAGGAAGGGAATGAGGGAGGGAGGGACATTCTCCTCCATGAGATCATTTGGTAGCCCAAAGTATCTGTATTAGCCTATAAGATGTATAACTTTCAGATGAACAGACAGAATGGCTCTTTACTATCTATAACTGATTTAGTTTTGCTTGTGAATCCTCACCCTACTGAGTAGTAGAAAAAGAAAAAAAGGGAGAGGACAATGAGCTTAAATTTATCAATTACAGGTATCCTAGTATCCTCAGGTTTAACTGCTCCTTTGGGTAGCTGGTCTCTTTCAGAAAAATTCTTAGTCTCTCCTCTCACTTCTCCCTCTTGTTTCATGGGTATTCACATGACCTCATGATAGGATAGGGTTGGAAAAAAGAGGTCTGAGCTCTGCACAATACTTGTGAGTCCTCACTAAGGTAAAGCAGGTTTCATCTGGCCTTTTGTAGCTCCAGCTGCAACCACACCTGAGACCAAAAGTTCCAGCCATTTACCTCTGGTTGTAAAGCCTTACTGCACTGTGACATCTTAGCCTCACTGTTCACCAGACTGTTCAGCATCTCCAATTTTACTTCCTGAGGGGATGTATGAATATGCAGATTCTCCCATGTAGCACCTGCAGGCCACTGAAAACCAGAAATTATTTCAGGCTACCAAACAAGACCAGCCCTGCCATTGTTCCTGAGTCACATTCAGGGGCACAGAGCCAAATGCAAGGCCCCTCCTTCTTCCTTAGTGGAGTAGACAACCAATTCTCTACAGGTTCTCTAATACCACACATATTTGGATGCTTTACTATTATCTCACCCTGTTCTGCACCCCCAACCCCCACTTCTGAGACTTCAGCCAGAACAGGTTAGGAATGCCTGCCTGCTGCACTTATTCAAGCTCTGTCTCCATCCACCCTCCACCAGGTCAGAATGGAAAGACTCTCCCTTCTTCCCACTCAGCAGGTACCTTCCTTATGTCGTAGCCTCCATTTTCTCTACCATATGGCATATACTAAATGGCACTTTTAATTTTGCCAAGGTTTAGATTTTGAAGTGAATGGAGCTTTAAATTTTTTAAAACTGTTCTTTCTTAGTAATGTCTGTTTTGTGTGTGTGTGTGTGTTTTCCCCAAACTACTGTGTTTCTTGGGACTCAAAAGTCTTATTTTGGTAGTCAAAAGTTGTTTTTCTTTTGCATTCCAAGCATCACAGTTATGTTTCTCCTTGGAGGATGAAAGATGCTCCTGGACAACCAAGGAGACCATTTCACAAGAGAAATGCAAAATTTATTAACATGTTTTCAAATTTTATTGTCTTCATTATACCTTTTTCTTGCAGCTGCCAACCCATTCATCCATTTATATGGCCTTTTTAATGTCCCACATTATTTTCTAGAGGGCATATTTATCTCTATTTTGGAGACACCAGTGGGAATATAATAAATGTCATAACTGAGTTTCAAATGTTGAGGCAGTCACTGCACAACAGAATGGAATGAATATGTCATTTGAGTATGAGCCCAGAGATGACAGGGATTGTGAAAAATTGTTTGGTATCTAAGCAGAGCCTAACCCTTTGAACCCATTGAACTTTCAGATCCCTCTAGTAAGAAACTCCCATGAGCTTAGATGCTGGGCTTCTGTCATTTATATACTCTAAGTGGCAGGAGGCTACCTGAAACCTGCTCCAAATGAGCTCACGTAGGAGATTAATATGGCACTTAGTCTGTGGCCCAAGGCTCAGGACATCCATTTATGACCGTGATTCCCAACTGGGGTGATTTCCCACCCCTGTCTCCTGCAAGATTTGACAAAGTCTGGTCACATTCTTGGTTGTCACAACTGGGGAGGTGCTGCTGGCTTCTTGTGGGTAGAGAGGCCAGGGATGCTGCTACACATCCTACCATGCACCGGGCGACACAGTGAAGAATTATTGGGCTCTACTGCCAATATGCTTAAGTTGAGAAACACTGATACAGAAAACGATAGTGAATTGAACTGAGTTGTATTGATCCTGAATATTACAGAGCACCTTTTGGCACGGTTGCCCAATCATGGTCAGGAAGGAGCTTATCGGCGACCGCTCGCGTCCGGCTAATTTTGAGCCGCGCCTCCCACCGTCCGCGGTCACGTGCCGGCCCTCCGGGCCGCGTCCGCCGGTGGGGGTGGCTCTGCCGGGCGTCGGGACAGGAAGGGAGGCGGCCGCGGTGCCATTCTTAAAGGGGCCCGAGGGAAGGTGACTGCCGGAAGGAAAATGGTGAGCTGCCACCCGCGAGGGTGGGGGGGACCGAGGGCTGGGCCAGCCCGCCGGGCTTTCCTGTTTGGCGGGGCCGCTGTCGGCGGGCAGCGCCCAGGGTGGGTCGGCGGCCGCTTCCGCCCGGCTGCGGGCTGGCGTCCAGGGCGGAGAGTGGCGTCCCCCGCCGCCCGGCCGCCGCCCCGCCTGAGGGCAGCCCCCCGGCGGGCCCGGGGGCTGAGGTGCGGCCGGTGGGGAGGGCCGTCCTCGCCGGTCCTGGACGGTGGGTGCCAGCTCCTGAGCGGAAGTGTTGGAGGTCCCGGGGGAGGGCTCCCCCAAACGCGGGTTCTCCGCCCGGCGCCAGCCGGCGCGAGCACCTTCCCCCTGCCGGCCCTGCCCGGAGGGCTCGCTCCGATCCGGATTGGGGTCTCTGGGCGTCGCCGCGGCTTTTCGTGTCCTCCCCCCGCCCGCCTCTCAGGGTTTCCCCTTATCCTGCTTTCCCCGAGTTACAGCAGTGGGAAACCTTTGACCCAAGGCTTTGGCGCTGGCAGTGCAGTGACTGTAAGGATCTTGAGCTTTGCTGGGTCTAGCGGCTCCGGCTTCCTTCGGCCCCTGCACTCAGAAATGAGTGGAGACTTGCCCTGGCCGCTGTGCCTCGGTTGGTTGGAGCGTCCTCCCGGGCACAGGAAGGTCGCGGGTTCAAATGTGATCTGGGCACCTGGCCTAGGTGGCGGCTTACATCCCCCTCTGGCGCTTACAGGAGGCAGCCAATCAGCGTGTCTCACATCCATCCTTCTTTCCCTCTCTAAAAAAACAAAATTTATAACCCTTAAAAAAAACCACCTTAA